CTCAATAGAGCCCTTATGGTCCTTAAAAACACTTGGGTACTTCAGGTAAAAAAAAAGGGTAGTTGGGGGGTGCCGATAGGGGTTTAGTGTTTTGAGGCTCTCGACTCCACAGGGCGGAGGGACCCGAGGAAGCAACTGGACGCTACTTGGAGGATCATGGGACTTAGTAACTAGGGTTATAAATAAGGTAACTACAATTATAGCCCCAATTAGGGTACTTATAACCTTACTTACTAAGTCCCATGATCCTCCAAGTAAACCCCTGAATCCTAAATAAACGATCCGAAATGGTCTGAAGGCGCAAGAGCTGAGCGGACTGTGGTGTAACAAGACAACCGGCCGAAGTCTGACGCTAGAACAGCTTTGGATGTATATCGTATAATAGTTGTACGAGGGCTACTATGATGGGGAGATTATGGCAATAACCTCTATCTTCAAGAACAACACATCCTACTCTACATGAAATGGACGGGCCGCTGGTGACCCCACCACGGGTTGAAGGCTCCAAAATCCTGGGCGAGATCTCGATCGAGCTTCTCTGGCTTTCGCACTGCTTCTGCTCAAGATGAGGGGCAATGAAGGGCGGGCCATGTCCTTTTTCTCTCTTTGTATATTGCTCAGTCCTCCCTCTCTCACTCACGAACCGTCCGTCCAAACTCCCCGCGCCAAGCCCGTCGGAAATGTTGTGGGAACTCCTTCTTCCCGAAGATCAGCTGCGTGAGGTGCACAAACTCCCATGGCTCAATCTGCTCTGGGCGGAGCTTGGCATACTCTTCAGGAAGCTTGTTGATCAACGTGGTGTGGCAAGACAGAATTCGCTTCAAGGAGTTAGACATCATCTTGCGTCTGTAGTTGAACACGGTATTTGTGAAGTTGCGTAGATCGCGAGGGTCCACATTCAGAGCCTTCCGGCGCTCTGCTGCGGCCTCAAAGTCCAGCTTCAGGTACGAGGTCATGACGTTGGGACGAGGGAAATATGCTGTCGGTGGTAAGTGGAACAAGATCTTCGGGTCAGCATATAGCTGGAACACCACACTGGGAATGCCATACTTTTTGGTGTTGGGCTTTGCGACGATGCGCTGGGCAACCTCTTGCTGCAGGATGACATGTGCACTGCGTACTCCGTCTGCATGGTCAGCCAACGTGAAGAGCAGTTGCGAAGCCACATGGAAGGGAAGGTTGCTGACGATGGAGAGCGGTCCACCTCGGAGCTCTGCAAGCCTGGTGTAGTTCACCAAGAGCACGTCCGAGCGAACCACTGTGACCCCTGGAACTTTCTGGGCCAGGACGCGCATGGCACGCTGGTCCAGTTCCACGCCCACCATTTCGGGATACCTCTGCCATAGCCTCGAAGTCACGGCCCCGGTTCCGGGCCCTAGTTCGATCACCCGCTTGCCGCCCTCGGACTCGTCGTCAAGTTCTGACACCATCTTGAAGATGTAGTTCGGATCTGCGAGGAAGGTCTGTGACAAGCTCTCCTTTGGCTTGAAGAGATTTGCTGGCAATGTTGGTGGCTTAGGCTTCCGCAGCCACGAAAGGGGCTGAATCGAGCCCTTCGATGAGTCACCGGCACCGGATTCCTTCTCTGCCACTATGACGCGATCGTTGGGCGTTGCAGGAGCCTGCGTCCGCACTCCCCGCCTGCACACCTCGTTTATCTGGCCCGAAGTAAAGCCTCGTACTTCTGTGATGCGTGCACCGCCAAGGAGGATGGTCACAAGGGCAAATCGCAGCACACCTTACCATGAGACAGGGGCCGTAATAACTAAAAAAGTCTATCAAGGCAACCTGAAGAATATAAACCTAAACCCTAAACCCATAAACCTTAAACCCTAATCCCTAAGCCCGTATTACTAATTGTTCAGGCTTGGACCTTGCTTCTTTCGGCTCCCTGAAGGAACAAACCTCCGCGAACCTGCGGGGTATTGCGGGGGTCTCCTGGAACCCTGAACCGACAAGCCTATTGTAGAGCTCTGGGATCCCATCTGAAGAAGCTATAGCTTCCTTAAGGCAACCTTAAGCCCAAAACCCTATCAGCAGAATTCTGGGAGCCCATGCCAAGAAGCTCACTTACTTGATGGTTGTGCGACCTTTAGGATTGTTTAGCCGTGTTTAAGATGAAACTGCTAAGGCTCGGCGTCTCGAACGGAGCCATGGCAGCTCCTCTTCCGAGCGGCCACGGCGCTGCATCTTCACAGGACGCTTCAAAGCCCCGGAGCACTTACACCCCAAGCACTATATGACTTCCTGAGGCACCTACGAGAACCATGGCCAAACTAGCAGCTAGCATGTGCAGTGTGCTGTGAAATCCAGTGCTAGCCTCCCAGCGCAACATGTTGGGTTGGAAGAATGCTGGAGCCAAAATCGCACTCGTTCAAGATTTTGTGGGGGGGCCCTAAACCATGAACCTTGAACCCTAAACCCTGAACCCTAAACCCTAAACCCTTTTGCAGTCAGAGCCAAGTTTGGCTCAAGAGGTTCACGGCAGGTTCAGGGCCCTGCCCCGGTGTCCTCAAAAGGGGGTCCCCAGCCCCACCAGTCGACGCGATATGGGAGTTTCCGAAAATTAGGGTACCTTAGTTTGGGGTCCTTATAATAAGGATCCTACAATTTAGGGCGCTATATTAGGGTCCCCTATTTTCGGAAACCCCCATATCAAGGCTCAGCACCGAAGAACGACAACATGTCAAGGAGCATAAACAAAAGGCGTATGGATCATAAACATAATAATACCAAATGGGTGGTTGTCAAAATTATGGTCCCTTTTTGGGTCCTTAATATAATACGGCACCTATTATTTAGGGTCCCAAAAGGGACCATAATTTTGACAACTACCCAAATAACAGACTAAACCCTAGACTAGACCTGATTAGAGGCTGAATCGTCGAGCGCTCTGTGGCCGAGGAGATGCTCCGAATTCGACCCTAAAGCCTTCTGAGCAGGGGACTGCAGCGTACTAGGGTTTTAGGTAGTATTATCAGGGGTACCCCTTAAAGGGGTACCCTTTAAGGGTTTAGGGTTGAGGGTTTCGACTCACACACTCGCGCAAAGGCAGGTAGGGCAATGAGGTTCCGAGCTTGCTACGTGAACATGCTGGACAAAGCGAGCAGAGAGCAGAACAACTATCGCGGATAAGCGAAAAACCAAAGTAGAGATACACCAAGTCCTAAGTCCAAGAGCTCTCAATGCCCCAAGTCACAGCAGTTCAGAGTCTCCAAGACGCAGCAGATTCACTGCTTCTGTTTCAAAACGATACGGGTCTCAACAAACACACGCACTGTAGTCCTGCCTGCCAACGGATAATTGCGCCATTAGCCGGCTCGGGAATTCACTCTCTGTACTGTCGTATGAATTCTCGGTCAAAAAGGGTCACCACGCACCATGCAGTGTGCCAGTCGTGCAGCAAAGTGCCGTCAGCGCTCCAGCTTCACACATCCATGCATCCATGCATCCATTCATGTTTCCTTCGTTTCTCAACCTTGAATTCCTCAAACACGCGGCAATCTTCTCACGTCATGCAGTGCCCCCTCGATTCCAGCGCAGCCTTGAATTCCTCAAACATGCAGCGATCTTCCCACGTCATGCAGTGCATCCGCACTTCCAGCTCTGACACGTCGTCAAAACCCCATGCAGCAAGGCATGCAGTCGTAAATTGCGGTCAATGAATTCGGATTCAGATGTAAATTCGGATGAATACATCATGCAGCTGGAAAACATGTCCACGTGCTGATCATTCACGCGATCCCATGCAGACAGTCTCCTCTCCTCATTCCAGGCAGCCGCGAGATTCGTTGGGTTTCCATTGCAGTCAAGCCATGCGAGTCTTTGACACAGCTGCACCCAGCCACGTATTGCTCTTGTGTCCTCGGTCCATCCGAGGTAAGCCAGCCAGGGGCCTACGCCCACCTTCAGCAAACTGTTCACTCGGAACTTCGCACAGCAGTACCTGTAGTAGCGTGCTGCAGTGTCCATAGCAGAACAGAAGTTTGTCCATGGCTGCTAGGGTTTAGGGTTTAGGGTTTAGGGCCCTACTTTTGGCTCTCTTAACAGGGACCTTGTTGAGAGGGCCTAAATCCCCAAGGGTCCCCCTAATCCGAGCTCCCAGGTTTAGGGTTTAGTAGGCCCTTACCCCAAGACCCTACCACGCTCAGTCTTCAGCCTTAAACAATGCACCCCCCAACCCTAAGACCCTGACACGCACATATTTCAGCCTTGGATCCTTTTGCGACTGGCCGGCAACGACTCCGCCAGGCCGAAACCCTAAACACCTGAAGCCTATAATCCCAAAGCCGCTAGAAGCCCCCTTTCAGCCGAGTCACCGTCTGACATCGCGAGTACTTCGTGGCGGAGCAGTGCCATGCATCACCGCCGGCCCTTGCTTCGGCAGGTTCGGGGGGTGTACGGTTGCAAAGAAAGGACTTGAGTACAATATATGGATTAGGGTTTAAGGTTTGGGTTATACAACAAAAAACCTGCATAGACATATTGCGTGTAGGGTTTCGGCGCTCACACTAGGGATCTACGGTTTTTGACGCTCGCGCTCGGACAAGCCTGGCAGGGTCTGTAGCGACACTGGTTCCGACGCCGGTACACGTCACGAAGTACAGGAAGCTGTGACACTAAGCATGCGCTTTGGTTTGGTGTTGCTAGGATATAGAGGCCTTGATAGTTACAACTGGGCTTTGGAGATGCATTACGGTATATGGTCCAGATACTTCTGAATAGCCTCACCAAGTAAACAGGCCTCGACTCTACTT